TTGACTTGTGCACCTTTTTGATTCTTGTTATTGCTTCTGCCGCTCTTTGATATGTGCTATGTGTGAGTGAGTGTGAGTGTGTGTGTGTGTGTGTGTTGTGACAAAAGCTGCAAGCTGTTTGATTTACTCGCAAAGTAAAGGGATAGGGATGACAATGTTCTTCGCATAACCACGCACACACACACACACACACACAACACACACACACACACACACACACACACACACACACACACACACACACACACACACACACACGAATGAAACTCAAAGCAAAGGGGCAGAAGGGTGAAAGAAAAGGACTTGGCACGTATTGATGAACGGACAACAGCGAAACGCTCTGTTAGACAATCAAAACCATGCAACAAGCATTGTCTGGTTCCCATGTGCCATGTAACACTCACATCAGCAACAAATCAAGATATTACTCTTCACGCACGAGAGGAGAGAGAGAGACAGAGAGAGAGAGAGAGTGCGCACAGGCGAATACAAAAAAACAACACCACTGCAACACATACACACACAATCCACACACAATCCACATAAAACACAACACAATACACATACAACACAACACACATCAACACACACAACACAACACAACACACACACACACACACAAACACACACATCAACACGGCAAGCACGAGTTACGACGAGAGTGCGCTCAATTTTGTGTGCAGTGCGCTGGCCAGCGTGTGTGTGCTGACGTCCGGGCGCTTTGCCAGCTTCTCCACGGCAGTCTGGATGGTGATGAGCTTCAGAAACACGTTCTGCAAGTTGACGCTACCGACGTCCTTTGGGTTCATGGCGTTGGCCTGCCTCGCCGCCGTGCGCAGATCATCCTTCCACGCGTCCACAATGGCGTCGACGATCCTCAGGCCAGCGGAAATGTACTCCTCAAAGGGCTTCTTGATCAGCAGCTCCACCAAGGGAAGCACCTCCAGGCACGCGCCCAGCGACGTCTTCTCCCGGCTCTCGGGCTTGCGCAGCTCCTCTGCAATGTACGCGCTCACGTCCACGAGCAGCGCAGGGTCGTTGACGTGCACCACCGTGGACAGCACGGCATCCAGGCCTTGGTCGACGACAACGCGCGCAGCCTTGACGTTGACGAGGCGGGCGGTCAGCGCTGTGATCACGGTGGCGTGGCCCTCGTCCAACGCCTTGCTCAGCGCGCGCAGCACATGCTCTTGCTCCTGTACAGACGTCGTGGCTGCGGACCGCCGCGCGGCCCTCGATGCGGGCTTGCGGGCTTTGTACGCAGAAGGGCCCGGTGGCACGGAGGAGGCCGAGGATGCCGAGGATGCCGAGGACGACGACGAACCGGTGGCTGGCCGCGCCGCATATGGCCCGGCCCCGTTGTTTGACGGCCTCAGCGGCTGGCGATGTCTTTCATCACCACCATTCAAATGTGCTTGCACAACAGGGGGGAGCGGCATCTTGTGTGTGTTGTATGTGTGTATGTGTGTATGTGTGTGTGTATTTGGGTGTGTGTGTGTATTTGGGTGTATGTGTGTATTTGGGTGTATTTGTGTGTGTATGTTGTGTGGGGGTGAGAAGAGCTGAATGTACACAGATGAACTAGAGCTGAATGTGTACAGATGAACTTGGACTTGGAGAACGATGGGGTTCGTGGACTGGCCGACTGGCTGCTTGACGTGCGTGATGATGATGTTGTGGTGTGTCGTCGTGTGGTTGTCGTCTTCGTGGTTGGTTGTCTGCTGTGGTCGTTGTCGTTGTGCGGCAGCAGCGGCTGACAAAATTTTGGTACTACCATCGAAAGATATGGCAAATCGCCCATACCACACCCACAAACAACAACGCGCACACCAACACCACGCACCACCGAATTGACACACCGTCCACCACTTTTGAGTCCCTATCGGCCCCTCTCCTCACCCTCTTCATCTTTCCTTCTCTCTTACCCTTCTCTCTTACCTCACACACGATGGAGTTCAACGACAAGCTGAGCATTGTGCAGAAGAAGGCTGCCGAAAGCGTGGGAAAGACGCTGGACGGCGGCGTGTACGTGGTCACGGGCGGCACAGGCTTTGTTGGCCAGCGTTTGGTGGAGATGCTTGTGGAGCGTGGCGCCGATCGCGTCATCTCCTTCGACATTGTCCCACCGTACGTCACTCCGTGTGTGTGTGTGCGTGTGCGCGCGCGCGTGCGTGTGTGAGTGCGTGTGTGTGTGTGTGTGTGCGTGTGCGTGTGCGCGCGCGCGTGCGTGTGTGTGTGCGTGTGTGTGCGTGTGTGCGTGTGCGTGTGTGTGCGTATGTGTGTGTGTGTGTGTGTATGTGTGTGTGTGTGTGTGCGTAAGCTGTTGACGTACCTCTGCTGTTGGTTGTCAGTATCATGCACGAGTGCGCTGTATTGTTTCCACTTTCCACTCACTCACCCGCCCTCTCATCCACCCTGTCGTCTACCCTCTCAACCAACAAATGCCCCACTGACTGCAAACCACCTGCTTGCTCATTGCGCTCGAAATTTTTCCCGCCTTGTGCCAGGACGTCGCTGTGCTGGATTCACCCGAAGATTGAGTATGTGGTTGGTGACATCACCAACAAGGAGCAGGTGATTGAGGCGTGCAAGGGCGCCGACTGCGTGTACCACATTGCGGCTGCAGTGGGCCCATTCCACCCCTACCCGCTCTACGAGCGCGTCAACTACCAGGGCACGCTGCACGTGATTGAGGCCTGCCGCGTTCACAACATCCCCAAGCTGGTCATGTCCTCGTCGCCATCCACGCGGTTTGACGGCTCCGACGTCGACGGCCTCACAGAGGCACAGATGCCCGCCCTCCCGCTGCCGCGCTACATGCAGACGTACGCCGAGACCAAGGCCATGGGCGAGATGGCAGTCACCGCCGCCTGCTCCCCATCCCTCATGACCGTCTCCGTCGCCCCACACCAGGTATCAACCACACGCGGGCGAGCGGGCGTGCGGGCGTGCGGGCGTGCGGGCGAGCGTACACGTAAACTCACATCAGCACACACACACACACACACACACACACACACACACACACACACACACACACACACACACACACACACACACACACACACACACACACACACACGCACGCACGCACGCACGCACACGAACATGCACACACGCATGCATACAGTCGCGCACGCACACACACACTCTCGCCCACTCTCTAACGCACAGGAGTGTGCGCACTATTACACACACACACATGAACACGCATGCACACACACCCTCACGCACACACACACACACAATCTCACGCAAATTCACTCACACCTTCCCTCCTTCCCTCCTTCCCTCCCTCCCTCCCTCCATCGCAGGTGTACGGCCCGCGCGACAACCTGTTCATGCCCAACATCCTGGAGGCCGCCGGGACGGGCGTGCTGCGCATCTTCTCGGCACGACGGACCGGTTACGGCATGAACAAGGTGTGCTTCACGCACGTGGACAACTACTGCCACGGTCTCATGTGCGCCGAGAAGGCGCTGTTCAAGAACAGCCCCGCGCTCGGCAAGTTCTACATTGTCACGGACGGGCGCACGCACCCGTCGCCGCTCGGATATGCGCACTTCTGGCAGGTGCTGGACGAGCCAATCAAGGCCATGGGGTTCCCATCCATCTGGTCCAAGTTCAAGCTGCCCGTGTGGCTGCTGATGCCCATTGCGCACATCTGCGACTTTATTGGCTGGCTCACGGGCCGCAAGCTCAAGCTGAACCCCTTCAACGTGCGCGTGCTGACGATGCACCGCTGGTTTGACATTTCCGTTGCGGAGCGCGACCTCAAGTTCACGCCCATCATCTCGTTTACAGACGGGTGGCGGGACACGGCCGACTACTTCAAGGAGCACTGGCTGCCGCGCTTCCGCACCAACAGGCGCGTGGCCGGCCTTGCGCAGCAGTCCGAGGACAAGATCAACATCCAGGCCAGGCGCTGAGCTGAGCGTCCGTCATTGGTGAAGATGGAGACAAGAAAAGGGATGGAATGTGGGGCTGTGTTGTGGGTCGTGTACACGTGTGTGTGTGTGTGTGCATGTGTGTGTGTGTGTACATGTGTGCATGTGTGTGAGTGTGTGGGTGTGTGTGTGTACGTGTGTGTGTGGTACATGTGTACATTGTACATGTCTGTGTGTGGTGCATGTGTACATTGTACATGTGTGCGTGTGTGTTTGTGTGTGCAGATTGTTTGCCTAGGTTGGCCGTGTTGGAGGTTGGTTTGATAGCTTGCTTGCGGAATGGGGGTTGTGGTGGCTCGCCTTTGGTAGTTGCTGTTGTTGTCGTTGTTGCCTTGAGACATGGCCTGGCGGCCTTCTTGTTTGAATCTGTGCTTTGCAGCGTCGTCATCATCACATCATGTTATGTCACATGACGACAGTCTGTGCTTCTGCGTTGCAGTTGAGACTGTGAGGGCGATGAGAGGGTCAGATGGACGGACGAGACGGTCAGACACAGAGAGAAAGAAAGAGACAGAGAGAGGCAGAGACAGAGAGAGAGAGAGACAGAGAGAGAGCGCGCACCCACACACACACACACACACACACACACACACACACACACACATTCACACAAACACACACACACACATATTCACACATATTCACACATACACACGCAGAACAGCATAAAGTGACCTTGCACAACACGTGCAGAATGGAAGAATGGTGGGTATTATCACTGATTTTCTACTGAGAGGACACACGGTTACGAGAGCACGAACGCCAACAAAGAGTGAGAGTGAGTGAGCAAGGAAGGAAGAAGCCCCTGTGTGCCTTGCTCCCCCCCCCTCTCTGTCTCCCTTGCCCGTCCCACCGCACCTCGAGCACCCCACACAGCCACGGTTCAACCTCCTCACGCCACATTTACCCACGCCATTGTGTGTTGTAATCGTTTTGACGTCCGTGCAGCGCACAGCCACAACCAGACACACGGAAACAGACGCCATGGCCGATTCCAAGCAGGATCCCGTCGAGAAGCTCACCGAAGAGGTGAAGGATGTTGCGGTGAGTTTGTCTGAATCACACCAACCACCCAGCCAACACTCAAACCGAACAAACTCACAGCACCACCATCGTGACTCTCGGGCGGTGTTTGTGCATGGGCGTGTGAGCGTGTGCATATGCGCGTGTGTGTGTTCTTGTGCATGTGTGTTCTTGTGCGCGTGTGTGTGGGTGCATGTGTGGGGTGCTGCTCGCGACACTCACTTTGTGTTCTTGCCCGCCACCTTCACCTTCCATATTTGAAGGTTGCCGATAACAACCAGCAGGCAGACAAGCAGCAGAAGAAGAAGGACAAGAAGGACAAGAAGAAGAAGAAGCAGCAGGCCGCTGAGAAGCACCAGGTAGGCGCATGGGATGCAAGTGCGCGCTGCAACCTTGTGTGTGGAAACCTGCCATTTGTGTGTGGTTTCGCCACTTGCCACGACGACGTCTTCTCATTTGGCTTGGTCGTGCTCGCTTTCCACCAATGCAGGAGATGCCTCCTCCAGAGTACATCCCCTTCCGTGAGGACATCTTCGACGAGCTCTACAAGCAGTACCGTGCAGAGATTGAGAGTGCGTTCAAGCCACAATTGTGCATTTCGTGTGCATGCATGCGTGTGTCTGGAGTAACACATGGGCGTGTGCAGGGGGTTGTCTCTGTGTGCTGTTTGCATGCATGCACTGGTCATGTTGCCGTTCACACTGTTGCCTCACACGCGCGCGCATACACGCACCCTCCCTCCTTTTTTTTTTCCTCCTCTCTCTCTCTCTCATGCCCCGCCCCCTTCGCCGCTCACACAATCATGTGTGTCCATTGCAGGCAAGGAGTCCAAGCCTATCAAGATTACGCTGCCGGATGGCAAGGTTGTGGATGGCGAGTCGTGGCGCACGACCCCATACGACGTTGCAAAGAGCATCAGGTAGGCATGTGTCTGTGTGTGTGTGCGTGCGTGTGTGTGTGTGTGTGTGTGTGTGTGTGTGTTTGTGTGCGTGCGTGCGTGTGTGTGTGTCTGTGTGTCTGTGTGTCTGTGTGCGCGCGCCCCTCTGTGTCTGCCTTCGTCTGCCCTGCTTCAGGCCCGCCCACGCTCATCATTTGTTTTCCACCTCCAAACACGCACGCACACACATATTCGCAGCGAGGGCATGGCCAACTCTGCTGTTGTGGCAAAGGTGAACGACACGCTGTTTGACATGACGCGGGAGCTTGAGGAAGACTGCACCATCAAGTTCCTCTTCTTCGAGGACGAGGACGGAAAGGAGGTGCGATCATGCGGGTGCTGACCACGATGGCGGTGGTTGATGATGATGACGATGATGATGATGATTGTTGTGTTGCTGGTGCTGCAGGTCGCAGCTGTCAGCACCCGCGCAAACTTGTGTGTTTGTGTTGGTGTGTGATGATTTGATGCTGTTCTTTCTCAGGCTACTCGGTCCTCGAAATACACACACACACTCACTCACTCACTCACTCACTCACTCACTCACTCACACATACACTCACTCACTCACACACACACTCACTCACACACACACACACACACACTGCACGGCTTTGCTCACTACTGCACATTCGTTTGCCCAACCACACTCCCTTCAGGTGTTTTGGCACTCGAGCGCGCACATTCTCGGCGAGGCGATGGAGATGTACTTTGGCGGGCACCTGTGCTACGGCCCGCCAATTGCCAACGGCTTCTTCTACGACATGGACATGGGCGAGCGCACTGTCAACGACGCCGACCTCAAGGCCGTCGAGAAGGTCGTCAACAAGGTAAACGCAACAACAGCAACAGCAACAGCAACAGCAATGCCATGACGTGCACCCGGCGATTCTGCGATTGTTTGCTTGTGTGTGTGTGTGTGTGTGTGTGTGTGTGTGTGTGTGTGTGTGTGTGTGTGTGTGTGTGTGTGTGTGTGTGTGTGTGTGTGTGTGTGCCATGCTCTTACCATCAACCCCCTCCCCCAATCTTGGCTTTGTTCCACGTTGTCACCAGGCTGTGAAGCAGAAGCAGCCGTTCCAGCGCCTCGTGATGACCAAGGAGGACCTCCTCCGCATGTTTGAGCATAACCCTTTCAAGCAGCGCATCATCAAGGAGAAGTCAGTTGCACCATACCCTTACTACAAACACACGCGCGTGCTTGCTTGCTTGTTTGCTTACTTTATTGCCTCTTTCAATATGGTTTGTTCTGTTCTCACCTCAACCGCTTTCTCCCCCTGCACCTGCACCTGCGACTGCCAGGGTGACGGAGCCGAAGACGACCGTGTACCGGTGCGGCCCCCTCATCGACCTCTGCCGCGGGCCACACATCCGCCACACGGGCCAAGTCAAGGTGATTTCCAAACACATACACAAAAGGAAAACTCGCCACATGCATGCATGCACACCTGCAAACATACACATGTGTACATGTGCTGGCCTCCCTCCGCTCGCCCCTGTCGCTCCTCCTCTCGCTTTTCCCTCACCACCGCCACCGCCACCGCCACCGCCACCACCACCACCACCACCACTATTATTGTGGCGAACAGGCGTTTGCTGTGACGAAGTCGTCGTCGTCGTATTGGGAGGGCGATGCCGGTGCAGAGTGCCTCCAGCGCGTCTACGCCATCTCCTTCCCAAAGAAGGACCAGCTCAAGGTCTGCACTTGAACATATGCGCGCACGCGCAATTCGCGTCCACTCGCTACCGTTCTCCTTGAGCCTGGACCCTCCTCCTCCTCCTCCTTGTGTACTCCCTTCCATGCTCACTTTCACACACACACACACACACACACACACGCACGCACGCACGCACACACATACACACACACACACACACACACACACCAATGACAGGAGTGGAAGAAGCTGATGGAGGAGGCTGCAAAGCGCGACCATCGCAAGATTGGGCGGGAGCAGCAGCTGTTCTTCTTCGACGACCTCAGCCCGGGCTCGTGCTTCTTTGAGCCGCGTGGTGCCCGCATCTACCGCACGCTCATGGAGTTTATGCGCGAGCAGTACATCACCCGCGGCTTTGAGGAGGTGGTCACGCCAAACATCTTCAACAAGCGCCTCTGGGAGACCTCGGGCCACTGGCAGCACTACGCCGTGAGTCGACACACGCACTGCAAGCTGTGTGTGTGTGTGTGTGTGTGTGTGTGTGTGTGTGTGTGTGTGTGTGTGTGTGTGTGTGTGTGTGTGAGTGTGACATCACAACCGCCGTCTCGCTGAAGGTTGCGATGTGCTCATTTCTCACCGCGGACGCGACATGACATTTGGCAGGAGAACATCTTCTCCTTTGAGGTGGAGAACGAGACGTTTGCCATGAAGCCAATGAACTGCCCATCCCACTGGTACGGTTCCCCCACGCGCACCCTCGTGTGTCTTTGACGATACTGTGCCTCACGACTGTTGTGCAACATGTCTCATTCCCAAGCATGTACTCATGTTAACGCACACTCATTCACACACTCATTCACACGCACGCCCATCACACACGACAGCGTGATGTTTTCGCACCGCAACCGGTCGTACAAGGAGCTTCCGCTGCGCATGGCGGACTTTGGTGTTCTGCACCGCAACGAGCTCAGCGGCGCGCTCACGGGCCTCACCCGCGTCCGCAGGTTCCAGCAGGACGACGCGCATATCTTCTGCCGCCCAGAGCAGGTCCGTCTCCGTTGGTGTTGTGTTGCGGTGTGTCGTGTTGGGTTGTGTTGTCTTGCGTCGTGTTGTGCTGTTGTGGCATCCCGCTTTCTTGTCGACGTTTATGGTGGTTCCTGCTTCACCATGCCATTCTTTCGGTGGCATCTTCAATGGCCTTCGCCCTGCCGTGCTCACTGTCGCATGTACACCTCATCCCAAAACCCCAACCACCCCGTTCCCCAATCCCCCCACACCCGCATGCTGGCATGCAGATTGAGGATGAGATCAAGGGGTGCCTTGCGTTCCTGAACGCGGTGTATGGGACCTTTGGCTTCACGTACGAGCTCAACCTCTCCACGCGCCCGGAGAAGTTCCTCGGCGACGTCGAGGTCTGGGAACGGTACGTTCGCACATCCACCTGACATCTTGCTGATGCCAATCACGTGTTGTGCTGTTTGAAGCAGATGTTGAAGGCGTTGGTGTAACGTGCGCAGATATGTTCAGAGCTGTGGTTAGTGATGGAGCCACACGCTTCACGCACACACATACGGGAAGTGCCTCCTGTGGTTCAGATATCCAACCGCTACCACGATGATCACTGCAACAATAACCAGTCGTGCTTTGCTCTCAACCCCCCCCCCCCAACTCTTGCTCTCTCCTGTCTTTCCTTACTTCTTGCCCCTCCTCTTCCCCCTTTCCTGCCCGCTGCGCGCTGCTGTTTTCTGCACCAGGGCGGAGGCGTCGCTGGCCAAGGCGCTTGACGAGTTTGGGCACGAGTGGAAGCTCAACCCGGGCGACGGCGCGTTCTACGGCCCCAAGATTGACATCACTGTGCACGACGCGCTCAAGCGCTCGTTCCAGTGCGCCACCATCCAGCTCGACTTCCAGCTGCCCATCCGCTTCAACCTCGAATATGTGCCCGCACGCAAGGAGGAGGGCGTCGTGGTGAGTAGCGGCTGTGCATACACGTGTGTGTGTGTGTGTACATGTGTGTGTACATGTGTGTACACGCGCATGTGATGTGTACACGCGCATGTGATGTGTATGTGTATATGTGCATATGCGTGTGTGTATGTGTGTATGTGCGTGTGTATGTCTCTGTGTGTGTGTGTGCGCGCGCGCCTGCCTCGTTGGCAGTTCGTCTTCCTGGCCTGCCCGCTTCTCTCGTGTCAATGCGTCCCACGTCACCAAGTGCACCACTCACACCACCGTCATCTCCATCCCCGATGGCAGTACCGCCCTGTGATTATCCACCGCGCCATCCTCGGCTCTGTGGAGCGCATGTTCGCCATCCTGTGCGAACACTACGCCGGCAAGTGGCCCTTCTGGCTCTCCCCACGCCAGGCACAGGTCGTCCCCATCCACCCAGAGGTCAGTCCAGCCTGCATGCATGCATGTGTGTGTGCGTGTGCATGCATGTGTGTGTGCGTGTGTGTGTGTGTGTGTGCGTGCGTGTGTTTATTGTGAGGTAAAGCGTCAACTGGCTTTGTCTTCGCCCGCGCGCGTGATATTGTGTTGGCTGCTTAATGCTCAGCTGCGCATACCTCCGCATCTCATCTCACGTCCCACATTCCCCCACCACTCATCCCCTCCACTCCTTGTCCTCCACACTCACCGCCACCAGTTCAACAAGTACGCTGAAGAGGTGCGCATGTTCTTCCACACGCACGGATTTGCCGTCGATGTCGATGCCGACGACTCTCTCACGCTCCAGAAGAAAGTCCGCAGGGCCTGCGTCGAGCAGGTGGGAATATCCGTTGCTTGCATGCATTCCTTGCACTGCGTTGCTTGCATGCATTCCTTGCACTGACGTGGCCGTTAGTTTTTATTTTATTTTATGCGAAGCCTGACTCCATCATCATCGTGGTCGTCATCCACAACCCTCATGTCATCACTGCTGTTGCCTGGTCGTGTTCATGTGCACCTGCGGTTCAGTACAACTTCATCCTTGTTGTTGGCGAGGCCGAGTGCAAGAAGCGCACCGTCAACGTCCGCACCCGCGACGGCTCCAGGATCGGTGAGCGCGCAAAGCCCACACACGTGTGTGTGTGTGTGTGTGTGTGTGTGTGTGTGTGTGTGTGTGTGTGTGTGTGTGTGTGTGTGTGTGTGTGTGTGTGTGTGTGTGTGTGTGTGTGTTGGGGGGGAGTTGAGAGATGGTGTGCTAGGTCCTCTGTCTTTGATATGTCGAGTGTCGTGTGCGAATGCTGTCACCGCTGGACACACACACACACACACACACACACACACACACACACACACACACACACATTTTCAAACCGTACATGTACAATGACATGCGTGCAGGGGAGCTGTCGCTTGACGAGCTGCTGTGCGATTGGAAGCAGCTGCGTGACACCCGCGCCCCTGTCGACACCCTCCCCTCCCAGAAGCAGAAGCAGGAGGAGGAGCAGCAGCAGCAGCAGGAGGGAGAGGCTGCCAAGGAGGAGGCCAAGAAGGACGAGGGCGAGAAGGAGACCAAGGCAAACGTGGTGGAGCTGTAAGCTGATGACACATCCACATACGCTCACACACAGCACGGATGTGCGCCTGGTTTTGTCATTTCAAACACAGGTTCCAATCTCTCTTCTCTCTTGCTCTTCCCTTCGCTTGTGTCTCTCTTTCGTTGCGCGCGTTTCTGACGTTGATTGTTGTTCCATCACTGTTCTTCTTTGTGCCGTTGTTGTTTGCTCTCTGCTGATGCCTGCTGCTTCATACACTGCTCTCTGCCACTTGCGTGCTGCTTTTAGCAATGACGCTTCTTCACAGTGATACATGTGTTTTGTTTGTTGCGTGACATGATGCACAATGGCGCACCAAACTTGAACACTGTAGTCGTGACATGCACTCGTGTAACTGTAATGAGATGAGACAACAACATCACACACACACACACGCACACACGCACGCACGCGTATCAAACAAAGGGAGGGGCGTCTATGGTGCTGTGGATGATGCCACAGCATCAGTCGTCGTTGAGGTGGTGGTTGACGTTGAGGTTGTGGTTGTGGTTGTGGTGGTGGTGGTGGTTGTTGTGGTTGTTGTGGTTGTGGTTGTGGTTGTTGTGGTTGTGGTTGTGGTTGACGTTGTGGTGGTCGTTGAGGTTGTCGTTGTGGTAGTTGGGAAAGAGGACGGATCAACCTCCACCTCCAGATGCAACCCTTCATACGCAACAAACTCCACCACATCCATCACAAACACACCATTGACACCAACAGCAAGCGTGTACTCGCCGCCCTCCAGCAGCTCAACCGTGAACGTGCCATCATCGCAGACAACAGCGACCACATCTGTCGGGCCGTTCACCACCACCACTCCGTTCTGAAGCGGCATGCCATTGTCCGTGCGCGTCACCACGCCCGTCACGTTCACGTTGCGTTGCGCAGGCGGAACAACCGGGCACACCGCCGTGCTGATGGCATCGTACGCTGTGCTGAGGGATGCAAGGTCTTCAACAAGCGGCACCTGCACAACACCGTCGGGTCCCAGCAGCTGCAGCGTCGACAGCGGCACAGCCGGGCCGGCGCCAACAGCCACGAGCCGCGCACCCGCAGCCTGCAGCGCCTGAACAGCTGCCGTGACTTGCGGCGACGGCTCTGTCGGGATGCCATCCGTGACTGTGACGATCGTGAGCGGAAGCCAGGGCCGGCGGCCCGCAGCGACGTTGGTGGCCAGATCATCGTGGACGAAATTGAGGGCGGCGGCGGTGGCGGTGGCGCCGTTGAGGAACGGGTAAATCTCAATCAGCGTTGCAATGAGATCGGCATTGTACACATCGTCAAGGTCAAGCAGCTGCCGCGTCTCCGTCGAGAATGCAACAACAGCCAGCCTGTTGGGCGAAACGCAGGCGGCGCGGTTGTGTGGTTGCATGTGTGCGTGTGTGTGTGTGTGTGTGAGTGTGAGTGTGTGTGTGTGTGT